CGGTTGCCTTAATTAAGAATCCTTATTTAGACTTTTTGTTTTAAGCCTGATTGTCCAGGCCGATAAAAAAATTGTCCTGGCCGATATGAGTAAAAACAGAAATTCTAAGTCTCTCAAGTGTGTGTGTGTAGGGTTACTTAGCATCAGTCTCTTTGACCATTACAAGAAGACTCAAAAAGTAAAAAATAAAAGTACAGACTGACTCAACCCTAAACCTACGCAATCCTGAACTGGCTTTGTCTTGTTCGTCCGATATTTGATTCCTGAAAAGTTAGAAGCAACACGCAGTCCAAGAGAAATAGTGTTTGTCAATCATCAAAATATAAGCCATGAAAATAGATTTGCAACATGGACTACCACCCCGTCATTATTGTTCCCCTGACTTTGGAGATCACTTTAGATATTCTTAATTAACACTATGATTTGACATGCTGTCTATCATTAACTATAAATACCATCTATGAAAATAATTATAAAAATCAATGAGGGTATCAATATAGTCATATTTATTTCCTATATATGAGTGTGCTAGTTTGTGTTATATACTCATTTGAGGTGGCCAGTATATCTACTTTAAGTTTGGCTGAGTAAGTGATGAGAAATAGAGGATGGTGCTTCTTTGTAGTGTAAGCTAATAGATGTCGAGAAGAAGATGTCTAGCTCCCTTGAGAGCAAGAAGAGGATGATAGTTGTTGATATAAGCTTTCCCATCAATAAGAAAGATAACAAGCCAATAACTCCTACATAGAGGAAGATTTAGAAAGTTGAATTGTGCTAGGAGGTTGCAATGGAGGAGATCATTGAGAGATGATATACACATGTATCCCTATCTCTAATGTGGCCCTCACCTCTCCAGCATGTTCGTTGGGCAAGTTTTATGGCCAAGTGACTTGAGCGAGTCTTCAGAATATGGGTTATTGAGTAATGCTATGTTGCTATGACCATAAGAATAAGATACGAGATCCTAAGAATGAATATTCAGCCCCAAGGCTTTAATAGCTATAGGTAATTGATTATACCAATCAATAATGTGATAGTCATAAGATTTATATGTGCGCATTTTTTATAGCCTGAATAGTGGTTTTACTAATAGGAGAATGGCCTTAATTATGAAAACTACTGGATGTGAGCTGGTTCAATTTAGGTAGGTGATCCTTAGGGCATGGACAGCTCTAAGAGAATCCTTTGCAGGAGCTTGCTAATAAATATTACATTCTTGATGTGTTCTTTAAGCATCAGTTTGACGTTATAATTTCTATAGAGGAGAGTGACAATTTTACTATGGGTTAATGTTAGCTTCTACTCTACAGGGTCATGCTCCATTTTAGTAAGTGCAACATTCACCACATGACATAGGCATGTATACGTATGTATTTCCATATTCACTTTAAAATGTTATGTTGCTGTTAGGGGCTGTGGAGTGAATGTTTTAATTATATAAAAAATCTAGGGCTTTATCACCTCTAAACAATACTTAGTTTTTTTTATATATAAAAATATCACATCCCACTTAATATATGCAAGTAAATGTGCCAAATTAAGTAGTAAATTAATAGAGTAGAGAATCGAACCGCCAAGAAAGTTTTTTTTTTTTGTAACAAACTAGTAATATTTACTCTAATTACAATAAGTATTCTACTTAAATAAAAAAAATTACTTTTAGATATTCTATCACTAAATAAAAAAGTAAAAATATTTGGCAAAATATTTAATTAAGGTGTTTTGGATTGATGAGTGTAAATTGCATATGTTTAATAATGAGAGTCTTAATTATATATATGATTCAGAGCATATGTATCACTAGATCTCTATCAAGTTTGTAGGGGTAAAAATGATATCTACTGACCTCCTATAGTTGTAATATCTCTTTAAGAACCTAAAATATTTTACATCCTATGTCTACGTATGCAAAATCATATCTCAATATTCATAGTTGTTATTGTATTTCTTTATCGAGGATATAAATCAAATTATATTTTAATTACATATATAGCCACTAGGTGCATCAAATAAAGAGCGAGATAATATTGAAAATATCTTTTAATAAATATAGAATAAGAGCTTTCATTAGTACTTAACGTGCACTTTACATCATCAATCTAAAACAAGAGAATCTTGCAATACATAGAATGAATAACAAGCAAACTCATTTTCATTAAACTCATGAAAGAATAAAAGGTACAAGATATCACCAGGAAGAATCAGTATTACCTCTACACTCCTTTTTCCTTTAACTCATAGAGTTCCTTTAATAAACATAAGCTAAACACTTAAAATAATTATATCTTGTACTTCTCAACCTTAGATTTTACTCTACGAAGGAACTATAAAAGTACTCTAAAAAGTACTAAATTTACACAAGTGACTGAACTTTCTAACAAACTTAACATGATAACTATTAATAGGAAAACACAAAAAGGCAATCTAGCATCATGGCGCTTAAAAGATTAGTGTCTTAGCTTCGTTGAAGTGAATTAGCTCCTCAGCATTGAAATTTCTGCAATGTTGTAGCACTTACTGATGTGGATCGGTTAAATAGTGAACAATCACATCTCTTCACTGATAAAATGTGGCCCTAATAAGTGACAATTATAGTTGCATGGCATTGTGGACGTTCGAGTGTTAATGTGCCCGAGGGGAAAAATGGTGCTAAGGTGTGAGAAATTATGCCACTTCAGCATATGAAAACATAGAATTTGGTGCTACTAAGATGACTTTCTAACGCTGCAATGTTGATAATGATGCAACGTTATTTATATTACCGCCGTAGTGCTTACAGATAGAGATCTAGGCTCCATAATGTCAGAATTGGGGCGTCTCAGTAATATTAATGGTAGCATTGCGACGTTGTTTCGTTGGACGCCACAACACTGTAAGCTCCTTATAGTTTTCTATCATTTTTTATTTTTCTTGCTAAAAAATAATTAAAAAACACATTTTTATTAAAAATAAAATATATAAAATAGTACATAAT